CTGGACAAGATTAGTTACGATACGCTGCTAAGTATTCTTGCATGATTAGGGCTAGAGATAGGGTGAGATATGCCGAGGTGTTAGGGGCCAAAGGCGCGAGGTTCTCGCTTACGGTCAAACTTCGGGCGGGTCGATCGGGAGGGATGGCTCGGGATGGATTCGACGAGGAAATGGATTCGAGAAAGAAACCGGAATCGATCGAGAACAGATCGGCAGTGGTATCGAAGGAAGTCGTTACTGAATATCCACCGATACTCTTACTGACAGCCTGTTGGAGTGTTTCCTACGAGCCACGTACGTTGCTCGAGTACTTCCTTTCTGCTGCATCTTAGTCGCAGAGAGATATAAAATGTGGCTCGGAGCTCTGGTTTGTCATTGGTCATGCATAATAAGCGCGATGATCGTAGACCGTCGGAAGTGCGATTCTCGCGGATTTCTCATACCGTGACCAAGAAAAAAAAAAAAAAAAAGAAAAAAGAGAAAATGCTCATTTTACTGCGTTTTACGCGCGTTACTTTGTGGTCAACCTATATCACATTTGTTTCGTATTTTCACTTATGAATACATTTACTGTATTTCTAGTTTACGTTAGAGACGCAAGTGTTAGCAAGAATTTCATGGCAACGAAAAATCCGAGAGCGAAAATTCAGACAAAGACCGTCGCCGTCATCGTTTTATTGTGATCATGAATTAAAATATTGAATGACGTGAACGTGAAGGTATTATAAACGACTCGTTAATCAATGATCAATGTAACATCGACATTTGACTCTTGCTTTATATTTATCCGACAAATCGAATATTGCGCTTAGGGCTAGGAAAAAAATTCAGAAATAACTGATAAGACAATAAGTTATACTTCAGTGCGTTCATTTATCGTAATGTATGCACTTATGAGTTATCGAATAAAAAACGGAAATAACGCCCGATGAGAGAGAAAGAGATTCCAAGCGAGCTTAACAAGCAACGAAATGTCCGCACATACCTTTCTCCGAGCTGTAAAAGTAAATGTGCCACTTTCTTCCGGCATATTAACTGACTTTCGATGGAAAAGGAGTAGTATCTGTGGTAACAGTAGAGGCGACGACGGTAACGATAACTAATATATATAAATATATAAAATAATAGTAAACGGTCACAGTAGAGAGAGTGTAATAGTAGAGGCAATAGTAGCAGGAGTGACAATAGCAGCAGCAACAATAATATGAAAACTTGCCGATAGAGAAAAATGTTAATGGCGATAACAACTACTACACACATCAAATAGGAGAGATACATAATGATAACAATCGATTATAAAAATATCTTATTTTTCTTTTATAGATAAGAGAAAGGACGATATGTTCAGGAACGAACGTGCCTTCCCTATCCCTTCCCCCCCCCCCTCCAAAAGAAAAAAAAAAAACGCGACGAATAAGCCAGAGTACATTAGCACGTACATACGCGCGCACGCGCACTCTTGCGCGTGCACACGCATGTGTTCAGTGTGTGTGTGTGTGTGTGTGTGTGTGTGTGTCGTGTGTGTGTGTGTGTGTGTG